GGTGGTCTTGATAGATGTTCATCAACTTTATTAATTTTTTCTAATAATTGGCTTTTAAAAATTGATTTGCTCTATTTTTATTTTGAATTTAATTTCAATGATTTCTGCTCTTACCTTAAATATCGTATGTCTGTGTGTGATTTTATTTGAATTTGTCTGGTTGGGGTATAATTACATTTTTGAATCTGTTAGGGCTGGGAACTTAGCTCAGCGGCACTGAGGCTGCCTTGCAAGTGCAAGGTCCTGAGTTTGATCCCAACTCAAAGAAACTGTAGCTGTAGTTGTAGCTGCCTTTACAGATACGTCATCTTTACTATAATCACAAGTATAAGGTATGAGAACATTGATTTAGCCAATACCTTATATCCTAGCCCCCAAATCAGAAAATAGAATCAGAAAGGGACAACAATACACTTTCATAGTTTTGCCCCAGAGCTCTTTAAAATCTTGAGGCTTAGTTATATATCACCTAAGTAGATCTAGACATCTTGTGAAACATCACTTTGATCCCCTTATATTGGTGATACCGTGCTAATTGAGTCAGATGAGAGTGGCATGCCTGGTATACAGGAAGGCTTGATAAGAAATAAGTGCCCCAGGAAATGGACAAAAAGCCCTATGGAGATCTGGGGACCTGCTGCATGAGTTAAAATGTCAAAATTTGCTTTCAGGAGAGTGAAAATGGCAAGAGGGTTTATTATTATTTCAAGTTACTTAGACTATTGATGTAGTATTTAATCAGCTAAAGTAAGTTAAAAGAACATTGTTGTTACATTTCTACCTGCTGTTTTTAATTGTTTATCCTATGTGTGGATTTGTTTACTACCTTGAAATTCTAAAGCCCTGCTTCAGACTGCAGAATATATTGGTATGTGAAATACAATAAAAGAATGCAGTAAATAGCTCATTTCTGGGAATAGTTAATGTCTTAGTTACTTTTTCATTGCTGGGACAAGACACCTGACACCCATAAGTTCAGTGAGGCAGAGTTTATTTCAGCTCACAGCTTGCAGAGGTTTCAGTTCATGGTCAGCTGGCTGCGAAGCAGGATGGCCTGGCAGAGAGACACTTCAGAGGAGAGATAGGCAGGGCAGGAAGAAAGCCGTGGTGGTGGCGGTGGCAGCAGCAATGAGTCTGTCTTTCCTTTTTGTCTCCTACAGAATACAATCACCCAAGAGGGGGGTTCTGCCTTTAGTAGGGCCATTTAGCTACATCCAGTTCCAGTCTGGGTTAATTTAGTATCACACACCCTCAATTCCAGTGTCAAACACCTTACATCCAGCCAGCTCTGAAAAGCCCTGCCTATGAGTGCATGAAGTTTTGGGGGACATCCACATACATGCCATAACATTCATTGTTATTGTTTTATACCCTCCCTACTACGCTTTCTACGTATTAACATGGGGTATAAATCTGAACTATGTGACAGTCAATCAGCTTCTTCCTCAGTATAGCTATATTTCTTTTTTTTTTTCTCTGTATCATGATTTTGGATTAATGGCAAGGTTTTTGTTCTTCAGAAAAACCTTAGATCTTTCTAGAGAGACACTTGTTGAAACAATAAAGCTCTTCACATAAGCATTCAGATTGTCTTAGTAAATGTGATCTATTTTTATCCTACATTTAAAATATTTTATTTGTGTTTGGTGTTTGTGACAGCCATCAGAATGCAGTTTACAGACTTCTAATTGACCAATGGCTTTAGGCGCTGGGCTCTGAAATCCACCTGAAATTTATGATAAGGCTGCCACTCTATGAGCTTCTAATCCAAAGATTGATCACAACAAACATACTAAGAAAGAATGGTTATGGGAGATATAGAACTCTTTGGACAGTTGATATTTTGTTCTTGGGTGGTATTAGTCAGCTTTCTCCAAAGAAACAGAATCTGTAGTGCGTGA